AATGAATATTTGACCAGTAGAAAGAGAATGAGATTTTAGAATTTTTTTTAATCACATGAGCACTTAATAAATGATTGGATAATTTTGTGATTTCATATTTAGAATTAGAATAAGTGAAAATTATAGGGACCAAGTGTTTTCAAAATCTCAATCCATAATTAAGAATTTCTAGTTTTCTTTTAAAAATCAGATATAATTAAAATTCTAAATAATAATAATATTATAAAAATTATTTCACATATACTACCATTTACCCTCACAAATCCTAATTATTTCCCAATTAGGGATGGCAACGGGGGGAGGGGAGGGGCAGTGCCCCCCGCTAAGAAATTCCCCGTCCCGTTACCCGTTTAAGGTGGGGTGNTCATCTTGGACACATGTCATAATTTCCAATCATTAACCATTTACGACGTCGTTTGAGATTTTACCGTTTGTGTTGCCCATTTTCATTTCATTCCCAAAACTAGGGATGGTAATGGCCCGCTAAGAAATTTCCCGCTCCAGCCACGCCCCGTTTGAGGCGAGGCGGAACGGGGTTCTTGCCCCGTTAAATTTTTTTTTTTTTTTTTTGATAATTTATTTTTATTGTCCATATTCATTAGATTTAGACAAATAATTTTAGTTGCTATTTTCTATTAGAATTAATGAAATTTTGTAAAAATTTTCATTTAAAGTATTGAATTCTAAATTTAAAAAAAAAAAAATTAATGGGGTGGGGCCCCCGTTACCCGTCCCTTGCCCCAAACCCGCCCCGTTACGCGATTAAGGGGGTTTTCCTTGCCCCGTTCGGGGCGGGGCCCCGTGGGTATCGGATTTGTCGAGTTTTTTTGTCATCCATATTCCTAATCTCTTCTTTCTTTCTCTATAAATCCAATTCTCTCTTCTTTCTATCTTCTCTCATCATCTCACTATCCTCTTGCGGCGATGCATGCGCGGCACACATAGGCGATGCAACCGCACCATCACTGATCTCATCTCTCTCTCTCTCTCTCTCTCTCTCTCTCCGTGCACCACCATAGAGAAGACACACTCCTGTTGCTCTAATTTGAGCACTGCACGTAGTGGTGCTTTAAGATCACCGTTGTGCATCACTGATCTGAGCGGTGTGGCTACGGTAGTTTATTTGAAAGCGTGAGTTCCTATTATTGATCTGAGTGGCGTAGCTGTGGTGGTTGATTTGTAAGCGTTAGTTCTTATTACTAATTTGAGCGACGTGGTGGTTGCAACGATCTGAAAGCGTGAGTTCTTGTTACTCAGGGATTTTATTAGGACTATGTATTGCAAATGGTGGTGTGGTGGTTATCGTAATGGCAATGATAGCGAGGTGTTTTTGGTTGTGATGGTAGTTAGGTTGATTTTATTAGCACTGTATATTGCAAATAGTGGTGTGGAGGGATGCTTGTTGGTTGTGGCGGTGGCATCGTGGTGTTGGTGGCGGTGGTTGTCGAGTGGAACGAAGAGTGTTTGTAACTAATAAATTGGTTGATTTGTGACCAATAGATTATATGTGACCCAAAAAAATGTGATTGTGATTCACAATTTATTAAATTGTGATCGAGAAATAATTTGAGACCAATTCATTTTATAATTCTTTATTATTAAATAAGTTGTGACTTATAAAATTTGTGATTTGTGACCTATAAATTTTTTGATTTTGTAACCGATTAATAAATTGTAAGCTATAAAATAATTGATTTTAATCGAGAAATAATTTGTGACCTATAAATTTTTTGATTTGTGATCGAAAATATTTGTAACTAATTAATGAGATAATCTGTAACCAAATTATATAGAATTGTGACATTGATATGTTTAATTAGTAAAATATATTTGTAATTAATTGTTTCATAGTTAAAATTTAATTATCTGATGTTTAAATTTTTAAACTTTGTTTCCTAGTTTTGAAATGGGTCATAATTGGAATTTTAGATATGAAATTTTCCCTTAGAATAATGCAAAGGCAATGGCATGCTGAACTAGACGAGACATGCGATAAATAATCATATTCTAAGTTTCTCTTTTTTTCATGGCCAAGTAGGACGTCGTTGTCCTTTTTGGGTTAAATAATGTTCGATTGCCATTAGTTTAATTTTGCATTCACTCTTCACTTGCTTGCCAACCGTTTTGTTATGTTTAGTTTGTTGATCTCCTAATTTGCTTGACACAATTGTGTGAAAACACTAAGCCCCTGTTTGGCCCCCATTATATTACATTCCATTACATTACATTAATTTTTTCTCACTCTTCATCTCAACCATACATTCATCAAATAAAATAATAATACACACAAATCAAAAACTTTTCAACCACACATCTCCCATCAATCACTATTCTAAAAATTATTTACCCCCCAAAAATTTAATTTAATGGGGGGCAAACAGGGGCTAAATCTCCTAAGAATGAAGCTGTTGTTTGTTTGTAAAATGGATTTGAGTGATTTATTCAACAAATTGAACTAATCAACCTTACCAAAAATTGGATTAAGTTACCGTACGACGGATTTCGTGTATTAATATAGAAATCGTCACAAATTATATTTTGAGAAATACAAATGGATATGAATCTTCTTGAAATTGCAAAAATGTAAAACCCTCTGATTGAAGACAAGGAGCCATGTGGCTTGAATCCTAGATTTCGAGATTTGTTGAGAATTTGATTTGTCGAGAACTTAATTTGTTCGACACTTGAATTTCGGAGCTTGGATTTGCACTTTGAAACTTGGGCTTGACCTTGATTTGATTCGAAGAAGATTCTGATCTTCTTCATGTTCGCCGGACTTGGAGTTGGAGAGAATTTCTCTCTTCGTTCAGTTTTGGGATTTTTGCAACACTTCGTGATTTTCTTCTTCCTTTTTCTCCCCTTTTCTTTATAGACCTTTGGTCATATTTATAGGGGAAATTCGTGACTAATTTTGGTAATCACTTAATTAATTCAATTATAATGATTATAATTGAATAATTGTGGATTTTGAAATAATGGGATGAGCCTTTAAAATTTTATGGGCCTTGGTAGGCTTTAGTTTAGTAAATTTAATTGAGCTAGTTATTGAAATTGACCCAACCCATTATTTGTTATTTTATTTTATTTATTTAGTTATTTTTTTATGTCTACAGTAACAGCAATGAATTGAGTAATAAATATAAAAGAAATGGAAGGTAAAATGCCAACAAAAATGGACAAAGTAACACCAAGGAAATTGATGTAAAGTCGAGGCAAGAGTTGGACAATTTGTCCTTAAGTCGATTTTGCCCTGCAACAATCCTAAGGATGATGACGACAATCAACTCCCAAGATACAATGACTATCTTTTTGTGTTTGTAACACTCCAAAACACAAGAACAACGAGCCAAAAAGATGGCTTTTGTACTCCTATCAAATGAATTGAAAAACATATTTTTATGTAGAATTTCAGCTAAAGAAATATGATTTTTTATGTTATACCATGATTGCATATGATTGGGATGGGTGAAAAGATGTTCAAAGGGTCTTATTTATAAAGGAGGAGAGGTTGTGAGTTAACCCTTTGCTGTCGCTTGCCTAGCGTTGGGCTGTCGCTTGAGCGATAGTCGTGGTGGGTGCGCTAAATAGTGGTCTTTTAGGGCTGTTCGGCATGAAGGAGAAAGGTTTAGATCGACCAGGGTGAGTGAAAATTTGATTTGTTTGGTTCAGATTTGTGGGCAAAATGATCAGCCCGCTCGCATAGTGGTCTTGTTGAAGATGAGCTTCGAAATTGAGAAGCTTTTCATGTAGCTCATCAAAAGATATTCATTTCTCACGGGTACTGATAGCAGAGACGATATGTTTGTATGCATTGAGCAATCTAGAAATTTAATATTTAAGTGATCACACACTATAGACAAATCCGTGAGGGTAAGTTCGAATATGGTTTCAACGCCTTTGGAAAGTGGTGAATTGGCCTTTTAGTTGCATAATATATACGGCCCAACAAGAGCTCGACATATATAGTTGATAGCGAGAGTGGTCCATCTTTCTCAAGATTTTTGGGAGGATGCATATATGGAGAGGGGGAGGCATTGATGATGTTAAGGAGACGATCTTGGCTTATCCAGAGAGCAAAGCTGGGTTGACGGATGAGCTGCCATTGACAAAGAGGGTGCGATGGGCACTGCCAGGATCTGTGGACGAAGTCCATGGGAAAATATGTTATTCAGAAACATAAACTTCTTTATAAATTGTCTCCCAATAAGAATTTGAATAGAATAGCTTTCTATGTTACTTTCTTGTTGTCACTGAGTTTTCATTTTTTTGGTATTTTCTAGTTGTTTCTAAGTAATTTAATGCATTGCAGGGGATATTATAGGTGTAGCAGCTCAAAAGGGTGCCCAGCTAGAAAACAAGTAGAACGGAGCCGCCTTGAACCCACCAAGCTCCTAATCACCTACTTTTGTGAACATAACCACCCTCCCCTAGCCACCACCAAACACCACCACCTCTCCGCAGCTGCCTCCACTGACTCCACCTCCTCGCTTCCAGCCAAATTCCCTCCAGAGGAATGTGCCGTCTTCGCAAACCAACTGGACTCGGAACCAATCCATAATGGTTTTGCCGAGCTTGCCGGAGAGCTTGGATGGTTAGCCGATGTAGGATTCCCCGTAATGGACTGCCTGACCCTTGTGGGGCCTTCATGGGCTCATTCGGATGTGGAAGTCTTCATGCCTATTGGTGAAGAGGATGAGTCTTTATATGGTGATCTCGGGGACTTGCCAGAGTCCTCGGTGGTCCTCCGGCGGCATAGTGTAGAGACACCATGTTGCTTGGGCACCTGATAATAGAAATGCTGACAAACTTCCAATGTAATAGATTCAAAGTAAATAAATGTGAGATCACATTTTCATTTTCCTCCTTCCATGTACAGATTTCTTGAAAAAAAAAAATCTTTTTAATTTTTGTATATTTTAAATTTAGGTAAAAATAATTAAATATTGCATACAGTTCACCTTACAAACGAGCCATTTACGGCTTACAGCCAAATCACCATTTCATCTAGGATTAGAAAGAACAGAAGCCTGTGGTGGCTCAGAAACCATAGCAGGAGGAACTGATACTGGATGTGATAATGCATGAGTGAAATAGTAACTGATATTCTGTTCTTCAACTTCCAATACACCTTCTAATACTTTCGCTCCAATCGACATCGTAGGCCTTCTCGTGTGGTCGTCCTGCAAACACCAGGCCGCGATCTTGATCATCCTCAATACTTCTTCCTTGTGATACATCATTTCGTCGTCATAATTTTCAATCAGGTCGAGCAATTTGTTCTCTGTTGCTTTTTCTTGCAGAAGTTTAAGTAAATGTGAACTAGATTCTGAACGCATCCCATCAAAATTTCTTCTTCCGCAAACTATTTCAAGAAGAACAACTCCAAAACTGTAAACGTCGACTTTGATAGTGATCCTTAGAAGTCCCCATTCTGGAGCAATATATCCAGGAGTTCCTCTCATTGTTGTTTTGATTTGGCTTTCGTCTCGTTCCATAAGTTTGCATAACCCGAAATCAGAGACCTTGGCGTTGAAATTTTCATCCAAGAGGATGTTATGTGGCTTTATATCGAGGTGAACGATTTTCTGATGGCATTCTTCGTGTAAATAAGCTAATCCTTTCACTATATCGAGCACAATTTTTTTCCGAATTTGCCAGTTGAGCCGATGTGACGATGATCTCTTGGCTGTATAGAAAATCCAATTATCTAATGATCCATTCTTCAAGAATTCATAAACCAGAATTCTGCAATTTTTTTCAGCACAAAATCCAATCAATTTCACCAGATTAAAATGGTGGATGCTTCCAATCGATTGAACTTCAGCTAAGAACTCCTTCGTTCCGTGGCTTGCTTTATTTAATCGCTTCACTGCAATATCAGTACCATCTCCTAGCCTTCCCTTGAACACAGTTCCAGACCCCCCCGCCTCCGATCTTCTCCTTGAAGTCCTCTGTTGCAAATCTTAGTTCTTCATACGAGAACCTCATTGGCAACCCTGGAATTTGTCCTATGCATTCCTCATCGTGATCAATATTATTTATTCTTCGAATCATTGACAAGATGAGAATCATAATGCATAAAATGACAAATGCACCAGCACTTGAACCAGCTATTATTGCTGTGAAGTTTGATTTTTTTACAGATGGTGGAGACTGTGGTGCTACTTCTGGTTTGTCATGAGGAATCTGTACCTTAATATATGTTCGGTATGAGAAATCAGTACGAGGAAATGTCGATTCTCTGATAGATAGCATCTTGACTGGCAAAAAACAATAACCATCATCCGTAATGTTTTGATAACTGAAAAAGGCAGCACCACATGAGCAATTCTGCAGACAGGCCTGTTTGCATTGGTCTATATCCTTGATATTTGCAAATGCAGCTCCCAAATCAATCACAGTGAAGAAAGTAACATTTTCGATTTCAACTAGTTGATGCTGATCCAAGGATTGTTGACAGGATAATGGAGTTATTCTCGAACAACCTAGACTTGGTAACTGAGATTGAACTGATCTGAAATACTGAATTTTGTCAAGGCTAATAGGACAACTACATTGACCTTCTTGGCATACGCCATATTCTCCACAACTTCGAGGATATTGACATTCTCCCAGATCTTCTCCAACCATGTCAAGAAGCTCAACTAATCCCCTATCGATATCATGTTGGTATATCTTTAAACCCCCTTTGCTCTCGAGTTTTAGAAACACAATTACTCCGTCAGATGAAGGGATGACATTATATTCACCATAATTCCATTGAGCTCTTGTTCCCAATTTCACAAGGAGTCCTACTTGGCTGAACTCTGCAAAAACCAATTCATCGGCACTTCCCATGTTTTGAGTTGGCAATAACTGGTAATACATCAGTGGAGGTCCTTGATCCACTTCAGTATATGCAGCAAAACCTAATGCCAATGTTATAGTAGCATAATATTGACCCTGAGACCAGTTGGATTGAGAAGAACTTACAGTTAATCTTTGACCCTCTTTCAGTTTCTGACCAACAAGAAGTGTATCAGTTGGATGATCAAAAGATTGCCAAACGGGGAGTCCTTCATCGTTGAAGATAATTAAATTTCCTGAACTTGAAATATTAATACCAGCCACAGATGAAGTGTCAGTAGACCATATTTTGAGGCCATCAGAATTTAGCAGAACCAAACCTTCTTCTCTTGTAAGCTGCAGTATCGTGTTCTGCGGCACTGGATGGCCTCTATTTGCCGACCAAACTACACTCAGATCATTTCCACCAGCAACAACGACTGAGAACAAGTAATAGGTACAAGTATCAATGCAGTAGAATCCGCACATAACTGCCGGACTTTTTTCACTCATTTGTCTTAGGAGTACTATTCTTGTTTTTGATCCATCACTGCCTTGATATATCACATTAAGGTATTCATTAAGCCATGTTATGGATTGCAGAGTTGAGTTAAGGTTGAATATAGGGCTGGGAAATTTTTGAGGATTTGTTATTTTGAGTTGAGCATAGCTGAGAGCGAAAAGGGAAGAGAGGAAGAGAGACAAAATGGAATAGGCCATTGTTTCTATAATGTTTAATATCTGTACCTTTGATAGTAGTTAAGAGGATAATTGCGCCAGAGCATGCTCATTGACAATCATGTGAGGACAATTGCATGGCGTATTCATCATGCTCGCGGGATTTGAAACCAAATCTCTTCTTAGCAGCACATGGAAATTCATCCATCTCTGGTTAGCAACCTCGTGTAGTTGAAAATTTATGGGTTCTCTTTTAAAGGTCAAAATATTGCTGTTTTGTCCAACTTAAAATATTTTGTAATTTCTGAATCGGCATTATCTTGCCGTGTCGACTAACGATGTTGACACGAAAGGTGATGGACAGCAACAACAAAAGATCACGAGTTTAATAATCAACCTGATTAGAATCTTTCATACTTGAAAGGCCGGCTGTATAGATTATTGAATTTAATGGTTTTATTATGGCAAATTATCAATTAAGTCAAGTCATGCAAGGCCGCCCTTTCAGATTCTTGATATTACTTGGTCCCCCTTCTTATCTATTTAAGGGGTAAAATACCTTAATTGTGAATGGTACATCGACTTTATACAGTGTGCTGCAAAAATATCTCCGAACTTCAAATCAGCATTCATTAGTCCCTTAACTCTACCAAAAATAGAATACCATCCAAAATTACTAACGGACATACAACGTGGATGGGATTGATGATGTGACATCCCATCTTGACATTATTTAGACACCTAGTAGGCCAACAAGGATAAAATCATACCATTCTTCTAAAGTGCTTGCAAGTTTCAAATGCAATAAAAGCATATTCTCCTTCAAAAAACGTTACTATTTATTCCATGTTGACATATTAGGTGTCAAAATAACATCAGATGGGACGCCACATCGTTTTTCCATTATTTACGTATGTCGTCTGTAGTAAGTTTGGACAATTTTTTTTTTGGTACTATCAAAGTTCATGACTTGAGTGACTAAAGGAGTCCCAGATTTAAAGTTTGGGGATGTTATTCAACAGGGTGTAAGAGACCATTCAGGTTTTTTACATGTTATTCAAATCTACACAACATATTTTAATCAAGTTATACACATATGACCCTTTTATAATTGGCCCGACTATTCTCATGTCTAGTCATCCCATCTAAAAACTTAATATAATTTTGGATACCCTACTTGCCAAGTCATCTTCAACACAATTCATCAGAAAAGACTGTGAAATAAAGACTGCTGATTCATTTAACAAAGACACTTCATTGATTCCACTAATCTTCACATGAAATACAATGGCTATAAATCTAACTTTTGACATCAAATTACAATACATCAGATAAATTAGGACAGTGTAACTTTATTTTGCTCTGGGGTCTCAGTATACATTCAGGCTGTTATACAGTTACAGGAGAAGGTGTAGGACTAACGTGATTTTCAGTAGGAATCCCGACAAACTCGGAAAGAATTGCTCGGAATTCATCTCCACTCATTGTCTCCTTCTCGAGAAGGACTTCCACTATCTTATCCATTGCTTCACGGTTGTTCCTGATGTGGCTCAAAACAATCTCATATGCACTATCTGAAATCCTCTTAACGGCAGCATCAATGTCTTCAGCGAGTTTCTCTGACATCGAATTTCTTGCCATCATTCTCATGATGACATCAGTTTGAGCTGACGAGTCCATGAGTGACCACGGGCCTAACTCTGACAGGCCAAAAGTGACAACCATCTACGAAGGAAACACAACATTTCAATAAAATGACCAAGTAATATTAATTAGAGAGAAATAAAAAATATATCAATAATCCGGCAAGGAAGGAGACCGCATTCGAAGAGTTATAAAGTCTAGAGTGCAGTTTGCTGTGCTACTGTTAAACTATTAGATTCTCTTTTTAAGGATGAATCTCAGAATCCTAGACCACGAGGAGTAGAAAAAAAGAATGTTTACCTGCTTGGCCAAACCCGTAATCTGTTGCAAATCACCAGCTGCCCTGGTAGTCACCTCAGGCTCACCAAATATGATTTCCTCAGCAGCTCTTCCACCTAGCCCACCAACAATTCTTGCATAAAGTTGCAGCTTAGATATCGAAGTTGGGTCATCTGAAGGAATGAACCAGGTTAACCCATGCGCCTGAACACGTGGCACAAAGTGACTTTTTGAACAGGATCATGCCCTGGAGTTAGCGTTCTGCATGGCAACACAAGACAGATTTCATTTCTTATCTTATCCATCTTAGTATAAGCCCACATCCATCTCAGCATCCTCATTTCTGCTATATTCATCTTATGAACATCTCTTCCCATAACAATTGAGGATAAAATGAGGAAGACACAGGTGCTTGGATCATCATTTACGCAAACTTAAAGAGGTGATCTTTCTTTACGAAGATGCGGTTTCGGTACAGCAGATCAGGAGAGAGAGGAGTAGATTAAAATTAACTTGGTCCAAAGTAGTTGCTAATGATCTAATTACTTTAGATCTCTCAGTAGATACAGTAAAAGCATCTTGAATGACCAATAAGGATTCCTATGGCTGATCCAAAATTTATTTGGAATAAGGCTTAGCTTCTTGTTGTAGATGAAGGAAGCAGAACTGATAAATGGTCATATTTCAAGAGCAATCACATGCATTCCCAAGTAAAGCATGTTTAACTTTTTGCTCATTTATACTTCTAACTTAATGGGAAAGTATTACGTGCTTAAATTCCAGATACTAAACTGCACATGCATTAAGCCCAGCCTGTGTTTACCCAAGACTGAAAAAGTTTGATTTGAGATCAGTCAGTAATCATTTCAAAATTTTCAAGTACTCAGCTCAGCTGACTCTTAGGCTTTTGCTGAAATGCATGTAGCTTTGGTCCAATAAGATGTTTGCTATTTGTGAGAGACAAAGTTGCAATAACTGCAACATAAGGAGCCTAGGGTGTGGGCAGGTTAGTGACAGTAGGATTCCCAGAAAATTTAGTTTACAGTCACCGAGAAGACAAAAACTACAGCATAAGATCGATTTCAAGATTTAACTTTGATATTTGGATAGCAAGATGATCAAGTACTGTACAAAAACTGCTAATGTATAACAAAATCTAGAAATGAACTACTGTATAGTTATGCACTTACCCACAGATTGCATGGCCTACTTCGTGGTATACCACGAGACTTTTGCTTTTGCCATCTGCATAACTGTCCCTTCCATTCCAGCTACTATCCTATCAATTGAATCTTCAATTTCTTTAGATGAGATTGCTGTCTTTACAAGTCGACCTGCCAGAATGGCAGCCTCATTTAAGAGATTAGCAAGATCTGCTCCACTAAAACCATGTGTTCTCATGGCTATCACTTCAAGAGATACATCTGCATCACACTTTTTATTGCCAGCATGAACCTTTAAAATCCCTGTTCTTCCACGAATATCTGAGACATCAACCATTACCTGTAGAAATATTCAAAAGTGCCTTTGAGTATATATGAACATTAAAATTAGAGACAGACATAGTATGCATCTTTACCTGTCTATCAAACCTTCGTGGTCTCAACAATGCAGAGTCAAGAATATCTGCACGGTTAGTTGCTGCAATTACAATAACACCAGTGATACCCTCAAAACCATCCATTTCTGCCAAAAGCTGGTTGAGGGTCAGTACCCTTTCTTCATTTCCACCACCAATTCCCGTTCCTCATTGTCACCCAACAGCATCAATTTCATTGACAAATACAATACAGGGAGCATTCTCCTTGGCCTTCCTGAAAAGATCACGGACCCGTGAGGCACCAACACCTACAAACATCTCAACAAACTCCGAACCTGAAATTGAGAAAAATGGAATGCCTGCTTCACAAGCAATTGCCTTGCCTAGTAGTGTCTTTCCAGGACCTGGAGGACCAACAAGAAGAACTCCCTTAGGGATACAGGCACCCATAGCAGTAAACCTCTCAAGGCTTCTTAGGGAACTCAACAACCTCCATAAAATCTTGCTTTGCTTCATCCACTCCGGCAACATCATCAAATGTAACACCAGTGTTTGGTTCCATTTGGAACTTAGCCTTTGATTGACCAAAGTGGAAAACCTCGTCCACCAGGGCCACCCATTCCTCAGAGGACCGTCTCGAGAGAAGGAAAAGACCCCCAATCAAGATAAGAGGGAGTGTCAAATTCCCAATCAAGTTGAATAAAAGAGAATCAGAGTCCTCTTGAGCATTGTGGGCGGCAAAGTCAATATTCTTTTCTCTGAACTTCTGAAGGAGCTCCTGGCTGAGTCCTGGGAGTTGAACACGAACTCTCTGCACTCGGTTACCCAACTCTGGAGAGAGAGCCTCAACAATCGTTATGGTTCCATTTTCAAACAAGTCCACTTTTTTCACCATATCCTTATCCAGATACTCTAATAATCTCGAATAAGACATCCTTGAGTTAGAAACACCTTGCTCATCAACAAAAGCTTTTCCATTGCCTATTAATGCAGGTGTGGCAAGTCCTCCAAGTAACAATTTTAGAAAGGCTCTTCTTCCTTCATTTGGCCTTTGATCCACTGATGCTCGTACAGTGACTGTTTTTTGATGTCTTTCTCAATGAGCGAAGACGCATACATTGGACAAACTGTTTGCCATAAATTTCCTTGCTCAAACTTGTTCTAGTATTGTGCGTAGACAAACCATTTCCCACATCACATGCCGACAATGCAGCCATTTTATTCCTCTGCACAATATAAACCTTTGAAATCAATAAAAACGCTCAAGGGATACATGACAAGATCATTAATTAAACCAATAACCCCATTAACCAGTCACAATATTTTGCAGATTTATGTGTTGTAAGGACCAGTAAAATGCCAAAATATTGATGAATGAGAAGACTTTTGAGCAAAACATATGTTTCAGACTGTTAATCTGCACTTATGGCCAAAACACTCAACTAAGCATACACGAATGACGATTCCATCATTCCCTGCTTATTTTCTAATAATCTCCAATTAGTCAAAACCCACAAAAAATCTTGAGTTTCAAAGGCATTACTTTATCAACCTTTAGTAATTCAACTACAAGAACTGAGCTTAATTCTTGTGAAAATGGCTCAAATTAGCATATCTGAATAACAACTCCCATCGTAATTTTTTAATTATCTGCAAGTCGAAACCCACAAAAAAATCCACGTTATTTTTATAAATTCATCAACTTTAAATCTATCCATTTTATAATTTTAAAAATCACTAAATTTATTCCCAATACTTCAACCTTGTTTTAATTACTCGAATTATTTCTTTATTTCTTCCCCACGTCTTTTTTCAATCGAGAAAATCCAGATTGAAAACTCAGAATCTATAATCGAGTAAGTCCCAAAACTGCAAATTCATAGGATGCGAGCAATGATTACTGAAGGAGCCGAATTCATGCTACATCTTAACCTATACAAAAAGATATAACAAGAAAATTGTATAAAAGGAAGCTCATCAAGATTTAAGGCCTGAAAATGGCTTCAAGATTCAACATACAAAATCTGTTCCCATTTTCATTCAGTTGTTCCGAATCTTCTTCAGTCCCTGCCGTTTGGTCACTTGACTGAAATACATGATTTGGCAACATTAAGTCAAAGCTGGATCCCACCATCCCTTCAAAAGTTGCTACATCTTCACTAGGCAATGGTGGCAGTGGAGAATTGTTAATCCAAAAAAAAAAAAATTAATTAATTTGGGATTTTAGTCAAAATAGAGATTCTATTGTTTGTTCTTTTATTGATCTTTTTGTGGAGAATTTCATTAGATATTGAGGATGACAAATGAATTGTTTGTATAATGTCTAAATTTTGGTTGGTTTAAGTGTGTTTCGTTTAATTATTGTCCACTCAAACATAATGCATCTTTAAACATTTCTTGGGGTGTCAAAAAATACAGAATATTTGAAATGTTGTTTAACATTTCGTTGAACGTTTAGAGAAACGTTGATATACAAATCGTTAAGAAATAGGTTACGACGAGACAAGTGAAAATATGGTTGTTCATTCGATTGTAAGTGAAGTTTTATTTTTTTTTTTCACTCAAGTTTAATTTATTTTAATTTCATCACCCAACTTTTGAATCCATTTTAATTTGAGCAATTCGTTATCCTCAATTTGCCAATCCGACGGATTTTATGTTTTGGCAGTTGCAAAATTACACACAACACCTTTTAGACATTAAATCGTGACTCGAAAAATCACACATTTTAAAGGTTTAAAACCCAGTCATTGGACTTGTTACATGTGTTCCAAATTCATCCTTTAACTAAAATATGTTCCAAATTAATCGCCATACTTTAATGTTCATTTCCTATTTGTCCTTTTGTCGACATCCCTGGACAAATACTAACGGGTTTGATCGACCGTCGTCGATGGAAGGACGAACGAGAAACACATAAAAGTAGGACTAATTCGGAACATCTTTTAGTTCAAATACGTACAAAAGTTCAAAGACTGAATGAATTTTTACCCCTATCATTTTAAATGAGGAAAAATGCGTACAAGCATTCAAGAACATCAGTTTATTATTCATTACACTGAAATGAAGGTAGTGCAATGCAAACTATAAAACTTAGTGAACGAAAGAATAGCCGGACAAAAAACTTACAAGAAGGAACTCTACAAGTGATATACTCTGAAGGCATAATGAACATTGTGAAACTCAAATGCTCGTTGATGACCGTGCTGCTTATAAAATTCTAATGAATGTTTGATATGTTCGACTCTGTAGTATTAAATAAGATTTAAGGAACAAAAAGATGCCTTGTGATTACTACTAACTAGACATGCTATAATGGAATGTTTAGTATGTTGAACTAGAAATGATAAAAGAAAAAAACGAACATAAGGTGTTTTTCCTTCGTCTCGTATAATTCTGTTCAATTTATTGAGAAAAAAAGATGAGACATTATCCAAGGTAACTTAATTAACAACTATTTTTCAAACTAAGTTGAAAAATATGTTGCACAGGAGATTAATAATCAAGCTTACAGCTACTGTCTTCACAGATCATTATAAATAGTATGAAACGTTTTAATTTAATCTGTGGCAATAATCAGTTTTCTTACATAGAATTTTCAGTCTATCAACTGGACAGCTGCAATGGCAGGTATTTTTTCTCTCAACTTCTGAGTTAGAGCTACCCGGACTGTCATTACTCCTGCTGCCGGTCCACTAAGCCGAACTTTTACGATATAATCCTCAATACGAACAAGCTCCAGTTCTCCACCACCTGTGCCGCCCAAATAAGGTCTAATCTCTGATAGAATCTGGATATTCATTAAGGGTAAGACTTAATATAGTCGAGATAAAAACACCGAAAGGACCATAAGCATTTGTATAACATTTTTGTTTGTGAGATACAAAGAGAAAGGGCCTATATATAGAGTCATAAATACTTTACTAAAATTCCTGGCTATCGACATGCTTATCCTGGCTATCTCTACAAGGCTAAGGAAATTCATAAAATTCCATTTAAGATCAGAATCTCAAAAGTCAGAATGAAAAATAAGGTATTTTTCAGCCCCAAGAACTTCCTCAATCCAGTAAACAAACTTAGGATGCAATTATGCATTAAAAAATTGCTTTCTGTTAAGGCATTTTAATGCATTCTTTTAGTACCTTAGCACTGTCTCTCCTCCCCTAAAAAAAAGGAAAAATATTTCAAATTTACTAGCCACAAAGTAGCATGACCCTTTAGGGAGAGTTCATCCATTACCTTCTCTACATTTTCCTCATTCAACTCGAGGCCAGTTTCCGTGTCAATTATCTGCTCTACTGCTTCTATTTCAGGTATCTTATCCCGGAGTCGAGTTTCAATCCCCATTTTAAGAGTCATTGTTGAACTTGGACATGACCCGCAAGCTCCTTGGAGCTTTAGTACTACAATAAGCCCATCGATCTCATGCAGAACCACATTCCCTCCATCAGCCATAAGGCCAGGCCTTACTTCATCCAACACCTTCTCAACATTATCCTCAGTTAGTGGCAACACACAACTTGGTGAAACCACAGTACCTATAGTCATCAGAAAGTTCAACATTAATGCTATGCATAAATCAAAGTTTGATGCATGGTGGCATGTATGAAAACAATGAACATACAAACAAGCATGAACAAGACAAGATTAAAATTTTCTTAGGGCCTTACAATGGTCACTAAAGGGCACTTATGTCCGCTTTATGTAGGGAGCATCAAAGTATCACCAAAATTGAACATACCTCTCTCAATTAATCCATAAAGCAATGAACATAGCATTAAAAAATCCTTTTGCATTCACAAACAACTGAAGCTTCAGATTATGCTTAATATTTGAAGTATAAGGTAAAGATGTAATTCTAATAAATCTTTCCCAGAGTATAAAATTGATAATGACCTGAAACAAAACCGTTCCGCCAATGCTTGCAAGAACATCAGACCAGAATAAACACGATCAGGATTTCATTCCCATAGTCACTTGAAAAATTAATTATGCACTCTTATCTAATCGAAGATATGATTAGTCAACTCCAACCAACCATTTAGGAATATTTACAATCAGTTTACCTGCATAATTTCTTAGTCGATGGGCTCGACTGAATCTAAGAAACTGGCTACTCCGAAAATGGCCTCTAACAAATGAACTCTGTTTGGATGAAAAGGTACTTTTTTCCGAGATGGGATTCTAAAAAAAAAAACTGCAAGAGATTATAATCTAATTGAAAGCACACCAATAAAATGAACTCAAAATACACAGCTTTATACTATGTGGAAGAGGCAGTCGAATACCTGAAGGAGACACAGCTTGCAAGAAGTGACCAGTTCACATGAAAAATTGAATCTTGATGGGGGTTTGAGAAGATGGGTTTGTGTTGAAAGTGCAACCATTGTGCACTTTTTTCTCAGTTTTTAGGCAATTGGGAGAAATCCCATCTCTGTTGAGTAAATGTTTCATTGGGTGGTGAATGAGATTTGAAGGCTTTCTTGTCCTCAAACTTGTGGATAGAGTGTAAATTTTTGCAGCAGAAATGGGACAACGCCACGTCAAGAATCCTGATTCCCCCTGCCACCCACCCCACTTTATTTATTTACATTTATATCCGGAAATATTTGTGAAAAGAACCATTACGTTCTCCATTCTAAGAACCACTTAAAATTTTTAGCCCCCGTTTGGGCAACATCTTTATCTCATTAAAATGAAAAATATGACCGTTATCCATCACATCAATATTTAAATTCAAAATTTCTATCTTTTATGTGGCCCTAATAACGGCTATATTTTTCATTTGCATTATCGTTCTAAATTCATTTTAATAAATTTAAAATGAATCGGTTAGTTCAATCCGATTCTAGTCGAGCTGCCAATGAGGATGTTGATAGACTAATTATAGCGCTTGTCACTAATTTGTGAAAATTATCGACTTATCATCTAATCTAGATAAGTGTCACAAGAGTAGCGCGTTATAGACATAATTTAGATAAATAAGTTTTTTCTCTAATAATTTTAGTTTTTCGATGGAGTGGTTCAACATGTCGGTAATACAAATATGCTTCAGATTATAAACTCATGAAAATTATATTGAGAAATAATTATTGCTTGTGTTACTTATGTGTGTTAACTTTGGAGCTAGAACTCCTCAACGAAAACTATCCAGTATTTTAACAAATATAACATCATTTTTTTTAATATTTCCTTTTATTAAGACTAACATTACGCTCAGCACTAGGCCGTCTGAGATTTCAACTTAAAGAACTCTATCGAATTCGCATACAATTGACGTCAACTATCGTTGAAGAGCAGCAGCAGCTCGCCTGCTATTGTGTTTCTGGAGCTGCATTTCGCTCGTTGGTCCTTTAACTAATGATCTCACAATTTTCTAGTAGTTGTAGTTTGTGCGAACTCGCAATGAACTATCCTTTTCTATTTCCTGCAAATCACAAATCTACAAACAGGGCACTTTCCTTCACTCTTCACCCATGGCACTATGCAATCCTCATGAAACATATGATCGCATGGAGTGAGCATCACGAACTGTTTGGAGTCGAAATCATCCAAGCAAATGGCACACCTTCTACCATCAGTGTCCTGAAAATTCCTACTTTCTCCGGATTGGTTTGTGCTATCAGTTTTATTCTTCATTCCCATTCTCCTCACAATATTACTCAGATGTGGATTAAATATCATTACTTTTCTCAGCTTACTCAAGCACTCTTCTTTTGTAAATCTCGACTCCAGCGCAGAGGGTGGTGAGTACTGTGGCTGATAGTGCCTTGGAGGTGGAGAATCAGGTACATGCTGTCTATACGAGGGATAGGTATTTCGCGCAGTATCATTTTCGATGAGTAGGAATCTCTCGGGAGAATAAGTTAGCGCTGGTGGCGAAGGGCTGCAAAAAGAAGTGGACTTTTGTAAGCATCAATCTGTCTTTTCTCAATCATCCTCTCGTGCTTTTATCCTTAATTCTTGTCGATTTTATTTTAATTTAAATCTAGTTCGAGTACTAAGTAAAACTTATGTGATCAATTTTGAACATAATATTTAGTTAATAGTTAACCGCTGTCGAAGGAAAACCAGCAGGATAAATAATTATATCTTATATGCCTCCATAACAGTTTCCACTTTATGAAGTCTTCAAATGAAAACAAAATTTATTGTTTCGCGACAAACTAAGAATAATTAGGACATTTCTGGGTTGCCCTTTTATTATTAATCGACTCAAAAAAAGGACAATTATTCCTGTGCTTAAATCCTAATCTTGGTATGCAGGGGATTCTTACCTGACTCTGCCAGAACGTCGTCCCGTCAGTATGTCATCCCTTATACTTTGTGAAGGTGCTCTATGAATCTATATCCAGATCAAAACAATGAAGTGAATACAAGAAGATAGATTACTTCAGCGACACCAGAAGAGTTTAAAGCAATTATAATTTTTGTTTTACTAGCTTTTTCATGGACACAAGAATTTAAAGATGTGGGGGTACTAACCAGAGTTCTCCTTGCTGGACGAGAGTCTATAAGAAATGTCCCCAATTCATTCCACTCGTCGTATCCAGGCTGGTGTAAAAACAATTATATTTTTCAATTACTAGTTGCTTCTTTCATATGTTGAGAACATAACTGCCACATATAATAAACACGGCGAAAAATAAAAACAACTAAAAGAGTGAGAACCGAAAACTGCGAGGAACTAAAGACGCAGGGCACTAACCAGGGATCTATGTGCTGGATGATAGTCTCCTATATATGGTTGTCGTTCAATCCAGTCGTCCTGTCCAATATGCCAATTCTCCCGTGGGGAATAACCACCGTAGATGCCGCTCATGGTGCAATCAGCTTATTAAGAAAATAGAACCACCCTGCAAGATGAAATGAATGCTTTATCTGAGGATGTTTTTATATAGTTTAGTTTCCTATTTGAGGCTGACATATCTGAGAGGAATTTGTTTATATTCTTCTAATTCTGTGTGCTGATGTGAAATATGCGTAGTGTCACACAAAGAAGATGCTTTTTAACAGAGAGGAATATGAAGTAGATATCAAGCGAGGAATATGATTCTTGAAACAACGGTAGCTTACTTTTAAATCAATTTTGGAAGAAATTGTTAACCCACTATGAAGTTCTTGTGGGACTAGGAATATATCTTGCTAATGGGTAAATTCGAAATTCTAGTTTATAGATTTGACAATTGTCGACCACATCGTGTGAAAGATCCTCGAGAGATGGGAAAAAAGTTATTTATTTTGTATTAATTTTTAATGTCTCCAATGTCCAATTAGG